GATTTATGTAGGTCAAATGGCAAGGCAGTTATCTCACGGGTATCATATAACATATTCCATGCTGGCTCACACAGCGTGGGCGGGGAGTTGTGCCAATCTCGATCGCAGATCATCTGGTAGAGACGGGACACAACCGTTTACTGAGTCTCACCACATCAATCGACAGCAATAGGGTTTCAGACGCTAGCGACCACAAAGGCGATTAGATCCGACACATGAGGTCCAAACTGTGCTGGTGTTGGGTTTGCGCTGAGTGTCAAGGCCGAGCGTTCACTTCTCGATTGGATCCCAGTTAACAGCCGACTTTGCACCGTACATCTAGATGGTTCAGTACGAGTCAACAGCTAAAGAACGAAACGTCGATGTTTATTCGTCGTATCCGCCTATGCACAGACAGATTGCAGTTCGCCAGAAGTGAAGGATGAATTCTACAGGGACCTCTCTCAACTGCTCCGAAGTGCTCGGTCAACGGATATCGTGGTGGTCGCTGGAAGTTTCAATGCTCAAGTAGGATCCCTGGACGAATCAGAGAAGCTACTTAGAGGTTCACATGCAATCCCAGCCCACACGACTGACAACGGAGAACGCCTACTCCAACTTTGTATTGACCACAAACTGTTTCTGTCAAGCACGAACTTCTCGCACAAAAAATGCCATCGTCTTTCATGGAGACCGCCAACCGCTTTACAGCGCCGGACTCAAATCGACCACATTGCCATCAGTCACTGCTGGCGAGGATCCATTGAAGACTGCCGCTGCTACTGGTCAACAACCGTGGACACGGACCATGCTCTGCTGCGAGCGAGATTCTCTCTATGCCTAGTAAACAAACACAGAAAAGCCACCGAAGACGGATGCCCAAGATAAAATGTCGGCAATGGTTGCCAATCGGCCTTCGAAGCGGAACTACCAGATCGTCTCTCAGCTCAACCACCAGCAGGAGGACTCAGTGAGCACTGGACGGCAATCAAGGAAGCGATTCAAATGCCAATCGAAACAGCAGCAAATTCTGACTCACGATCAAATAAAAAACGATGGATCTACCCGTCTTCGGTTGCCTTGCTGGACGCTCGCAAAGCCATTCCTTCGGATTCAAACTACGACAAAGCGCTCGAGCCCCTAAACGCCAGCTCATCAAGAGTCTGAGGAATGACCGCGAGATGTGGTGGTAGGAAAGTGTAGAGAGCTGGAGAAGGCTGCGACTATCGATAATAGTCGCAATCTTTTCCGATTAATTAGGAGTTCAGGTCCAAGGAAAGCAGGCGTAAATGAGGTAATTAATGAGTCTGACGGCACACTGATCCATATTCAGCAACGCCGTCTAGATCGATGGGCAGAACATTTTAAGGCTCAGTTCAGCTGGCTCTCATCAGCACGAGACCTACCTACACCCGATTCAATTTTGCAAATACTGCCAGTCGACACTAGCCCTCCATCTGAAGTAGAGGTCACCCGAGAAATAAGCTATCTTAAAAGACATGAGGCTTCCGGCCCCGACGGGCTGTCTCCATCGAATTTTAAGGTTGTAGGTCTAGCCTTGGTTTTGGAGTTAACAAAACTCCTGAGTTCAGTGTGGGAAAAGGAACAGATTTCAACTGAATGGTGAGAATCGGTGATCATACCGATTTACAGGAAGGGTGACAGGTCCTCTTGTGAAAACCACAGAGGAATTGGTTTAATTAACATTGCCTCTAAACTTCTCGCCGAGATCATACTCCGTTGATTGTCTGCCGCTCATGAAGAGTGCATACGCGAGAACCAGGCTATTTTTAGACCTGGTCGAGGTTGTATCGACCACATCTTTAATCTTCGTCAAATCCTAGAACGCAGACACTATTTTCGTAGACCCACCATTTCCACTTCTTTGACCCGAAAGCGGCCTTCGACTCAGTTGACCGCTCTAAACTCTGGCGCTGCCTTTCCTTGAAGGGTGTGCCCGAGAAATTTATTTCAGTATTACAATCCCTCTATAATTATAGCCGAAGCCGAGTCCGAGTTTACGGCACTTTTTCACCCCAGTTCACCATGGAAGGTGGTGTTCGACAGGGTTGCCCTCTCTCTCCTTTTCTATTTAACTTTGTCATAGATATAATTCTTAAAACAGCCCTATCCTCGTGCGGGGATAGCGGCATCGATTTACTCCCAGATGGAAGACTGTCTGATCTAGAGTATGCAGACGACATTGTGCTACTAAGTGAAGATCCAGATAAGTTGCAAGCTTTTCTGGATAGTTTGAGTGCCAGCGTAGCGATGTTCGGCATGCGCTTCGCGCCTTCAAAGTGTAAAATGCTGCTCCAAGATTGGGTTGGCCCAGTCCCCAGCCTCACCCTGGCCGGGGAAGTTGTAAAGAAAGTGGATAAGTTTTGCTACCTGAGCAGCTACATCTCACCTGGCGGACGCATCACAGATGAAGTGTCGGCGCTCATACAGAAAGCTCGGTTGGCATTTGCCAACTTGAGACATCTGTGGCGTCGTCGCGACATCCGGTTGTCTGTGAAGGGTGTAATATATGCTGCAGCAGTTCGGCCAGCTTTACGGTGCAGATATTTGGCCATTACGGGAACAGTATAAAAATAGACTGTCGGTGTTCGAACACCGCTGTCTACGTAGCATTGCAGGAGTCTGCTGGGGAGACCGGACAAACAATGCTGAGGTTAGGCATAGAGTTTTAGGTAATCGCGGTCGTCCACTGGAACAGGTAGTCGACCTCCATAGATTACGCTGGTTGAGACATGTGCTACGCATGTCACCAGATAAGTTGCCACGGCGAGCGATGCTTGGCGGGGCAGGTAGCGGTTGGAAAAAAATGAAGAGCGGTCAAGCTAAGAACTGGCATGAGGGTATGAAAACCCTGACCAGGAGACTGGCTCACATAGGTCCCGTCAGGCTCCGTGGATGGGGACCCAGAGATCATGGTCACCGGTGGTTATAGACACTGAGCGATATGGCTGGGTGTCGCCAACAGTGGCGCTCATGCATCTACTCATCTACTCTTGTAACTTCAGTCTATGAAAATGTCCTACCTTTCGCTTAAATCTGCTCTCAAAATTCCAATCATCATTCTGCTATTTTGTTCAAATGGGCAACCAAAACCGGAGGCAAAGGTGCATGGTTAATGGTTGTAAGAACTGAACTGAACTGCGCAACGGTAATTGATCCAAGTTCTCAAACTCTCCTGGTCGAGTAAAGAGAAAACAACTTATTCATAAAACCTGACCTGACCTGACATCTTGCTTACGTACTTAAAAGAGTGTATCAAATTTGAGTTCTCTCGAGCTCACTACCACATAAGTGACTCATCCACTCATCTATTTGTCCTCACTGAAATTGTTTCATATAAATATGATTGTAAAGGCTTGAGAATTAAGTTGCCGAAAACATATGTTCACTTAGATTATGTGTTACTTTGATGGTACAACATTCAGGGAGGGAGAAGCGACCGATCAAAAAGCTGCCATACAACACAAAGTAAGTGGAGAAAATCAGGTTGGTGATTACACAAACTCCAAGGCGATGATTCGATGCCCCTTGGCACTTAACCACCGCCATTCTCGTTCCTACTGTTTGTGAGCCGGCTCATATTCAATGGAAACAATACCCAAACCCATATATTCGAATGGACCATGCAATAACATCATTTCATCATTTCAGTCATGCATCAAAAGTGACAAGGGTCTGTCGGTCTGAGAATCTCAGCTGCGAGCCCAAAAGGTCACAACTTGATTTTTAGCCAGGAACACAAAAATGATACATAATATTGACAAGTATAAACTGGAATGTAATAACTACACAGTTGCCGACTTCAACAAAATTCCGTAATATTCAGATTATCACAACTATTATTTCTATGATTGGAAAGTAGAAGAACTCCATCAGTTCAATCGCATAAATCTGACTTTTGGAGATTTGTCCTCAAAACGTTTGTTGCCGATTTCCAAAATCCATAAATTGCCTTAAAACCTATATCAGTAAAAAAAAAAGGAATAGTATTATCACGCAAATAGTATCAAATGATAGAAATTTAAACATTTTCTTTGAATGCAGCCAATCTGATTGGCTAAATTTTTTAAAATCTGTTGAATAAGAGATGTAAATATTTCCATCGCCTATATATCAGAACTTCATGAAGGTAAAGATAAAATTTTATCACTCAGCCTAAATAACAGTAAAACCTTTAAAAACATATGCTGATCCAACTGAGTGTTTTCCTTATTTTCTAGAAATATTTGTACTTATGAGTAGTCACAATGAAACCATGAATAAAGGTAGAACACATGGGCGTGTTAACGCAAAAGACCAATCATACGTAACTAGGACGGCGGAGGATGCTGACATTAGTCAATAATATATTGCATCCATTGAGTTACCCAGATGATAACTATCCAGTTTCACTGTCACTTTTTTGAATGACACCATGGAAATCGAAGTACCTGGTGGATCCGTTTTCTTTCTCAAGCTTTAAAAGCGGAACGCAGGTCGTTTTGGACGTCGCTAATGTTGGACACCAGACCATTTTAGTGTGTTAGGTGAGATAGAAACGAAAGTTAAATCTTCCTTGGCAGGATGTTTTGTTTCTACTGAGCCAAGTGACAAGATAGTATGAAACAGATTTCATACAAAACGTATATTCCATTCACCCCATTTTGTCATTTTACTATCACTGTTATTATTATTATCACCAATAATATTGTTGGTATAGATTTGATCAAACGTTAAAAACTGCAGTTTGTTAAACGAGCGTTGTTTGAGTGAGCTCCGAGGTTGATGCCATCATATAGTGCAAATGGAATAATCAAAATTTTAGTCATTTTAAATTAATCACAAAGATTGTCTGTAATAGATCTGCTAAACCTCATCGATGTAAGTCGAATCTCACTTATTGTTGAACTTTTCTTACCGATAATCACATGCTGACACACATTTGATCTCGAAAATTGCACCTCCTTAACACTAGTCTTCTGAATTCGGAATCACGTGATACACATTCGAATGCATTTCAGACAACCGGATTCGTCGACTGAATGAACCCGGTTCAGAGGCTCCCTACTTCACTGCCGAGCATTTTCCACGATTGCATACACTACAAATCGCTCAAAACAAGCTGTACTTGCTTGACAGCACGCCGAACGACCCGAACGCTCCTCTGACACTGGACATACAGTTGCCTCAGCTTCGAGCTTTGTTTTTGGGTGGTAATGCCCTCACTTCGCTCGCTGTGTACATACGTCAATTGACTAAAGTGAGTCCACGGGAGCTGTCCGAGGATCAGAGTCAGTTGGACGATCAGGAACTGATCCGGGAAGAGATTGTCAAGGAACGAGGACGTTCGGCTCTGGGCATTTTACCCGAATTGTCTGTGTTGAATTTGCGCAGTAACGGAATACGCGAGTTAGATGGATTAACCTTAGAAACAGTGCCAAAACTACAATACTTGAATTTGAGGTAGGTATTTTCCTTTTACATATCTATGCTCAAAGTATAAACAAGTTAGATCATCGTCCCAAAAAGATCGCAAGACAATCAGGTGACAGTGAATCAACTTTTCTCCGGCGAGTACACTTAATGCGATTACATTAAGCCAAACGTCACGTGAAATTTGAATACCATGGTTATGCTAAGCTGCCTGTACTTTGTAAAGTGTGCTTTGCAATATTGAAGGTAGTTTTAAGTATCAGTTGGAATTTTTATAAAAGTTAGAGTAATTTGGTGAAATCCATTTTCAATTGACGACACAGATAAAATAGTTGCACATAATGAGGTAGTTCTGGCATAACCGCGAGGGTTCGAAGTTCGAACTCCTCAACTGCCACACAACTTGTTTGTCATGCTCGAGTGCCACATATCCCGAACTTAAGCACACCACGATACAAGTTTCGTACCTTCCCCCCCCCTCTCATTATCCTTTTGGGGGTAAAGCACAATGACAATTTTCAAGTAATCATATAGTAGTCTAGTAATAGACAAGTTAGTATAACGCAAAGTGAACATTCCGTTGCGGAATTTGGCCAAACAAGTTTGGACACTGTTTACACCACAGTCAATAAACTAGCATGTCTACGGACCGGACCCTGAGTGTGTGTGAGTGAGCATGCTTTTGAGCCAAATCACGTAACAAGGAGCTAACAGAAAGAATGCATAAGCTTATTAACCATGTTCTAAGCACACCTGCACAGTGCACCCAAAGTTTGCCGTAAAGTCAGCCGTACTGGGTAAAGGACTATCAATACAGGTTGAAAGAGAATTTTCAACATCGAAATGAGAGCAAGTTCAGAAGGGTTTCATCAAATGAAGTGTCCGTCGGATACGAAATAACCGAACAGTGCCATTTGACCAAGACCCAATGTTTTTTGATGTTTAAGGTGTTCATAGCAGAAGGGAAAATCAATGTAAATGGATCACCCCAGGGAATTTGCATAGAAAGAAGCAACTAATTCCGTCAGTTGGAAATCAGAAGTATTAGCTCTCCTTGGACTAAACGTTTCAAGCTAACAGATAATACAAACTTCGGCGGAGGTTACTGTGAAAGAGGTTTTGTAAAACACGAGAAAAGAATACAGCACACAACTTTTCAAACCCGGATTATCGTGTGGACGGACTGTTTTGAGGAAACCACTCTTTGAGCGAAAACTATCTCTAGTGCTTCCTCAGGGCTTTAAAAATCACATAGTGAGAAATTTAGAAACCACTGAGAATAGTTATTCACTCATTGACCTTTTCTCACTGTATTCGTGTGGGAATATTCCAACCTCTGAAATGGAAATGCTTCAAGGATTACCCAAATTCTACTTAGGAAGCATGGAATCAAGATCAGCATCAGGATCATCAGGAAATTAAAAAGCAGTGATTTTGGTGCATTAGAAACCTCCCTGAAACAGTAATTTTTACCGTAGAGGAGTTTCTGGAATCTCGTGGAGTTTGTCCAAGAGGTGCATGGTCACACTACACCATAATCGTTGAACTTCACGAGGGGGAAGTTACTTTTGTTGCGTAACATTATATTTCATGACATTTGCGAGCATACTATTTTTTGATAAACAGTACGAATTTCTTATTTTGGTTCATTACTCGACTACTGTAAGAATATCCACCGGTGGTTACGGTGTTTTATCCGTACTTGTTTCTCACTTTCGTAGATCATCTAGATGTCACTTGCCAGTTGATCCGTTACCATTTACTAGGAGTTCCCTTCACCCCTTATCATGATGCCATGGAGAGCTACTTCATAAGGTTGCCCAGTAAAGCTTGTTGACACCGAACACCAAGGGGTACTTCGAGATCTGACTGAAATAGTGAGTAACCGTCTAGGTTACTCATGAGTAATGAAACGTTGTGACGGAAATTTGTCTGAGTCTCTTTTACCACACGATTGCCGAGGCTAATGATGATTACAAATCCCATATTTTCCATCCTGTTGAAATAATTTTTTCAAGCTGATCTCTTTGGGGTTGAAACTGAAGAGGCACTGATTCCCACAAAAAACAACCGAATAATTTCAGTTGGATTAAATAAGCAAATTTGAACGCACTGGTTACGGTAAAGCAGGATTTTTATATCAGTGGTATCATTCCTGGATGTTATCTATTTCCGAAAAATCCAATTTATCCTCCATATTGATCAATAGAATGTTTGTAATCAAAACATTCCATAAATACTGGCTTTCAATTCGTGGAGCGCACAAACTACCGGTGATTAGATATTTCTATGACACAACTTCAGAATAACTGACTGGGTTCAATGATGTGCAATGTCAAGAAGATACATTTGTAAAAAAGTAAAATGCTTTCATTTTTCTATTGTTTTCTTAATTCATTTCGCTCTCTTTTTCAATGCGTTTCTTGAATGTATACCACTGGCTTTGAACTCGTTTTGAGGTACTCAGTTTACAGTCTCATTCGCAAATTATTTCTATTCATCAGAGAGAACATGATTGATTCGATGGAAGAAATTGAAAAGCTGCAACCACTGAACAGGCTTCAAACGATGATACTACTGGGTCAGTCTTAAATCTGCATTTTAATCTGAGCTCGTTTCTTTCCCGATAAATTTCTGTGGGATGGCGTAAATTGTGTTCAATTCAGGCGATGCACTACGTGGTGTGTTAAAAGAATCATGCCAAGTTCTGGTGCCAAAGGAAATCGGGACAAAACAGTGTAAAATAAAAGTTTCTCATTTCATTGCTCTGGGACGCACTGAATGAAAAAATTTCTTACATCCCTGTGGTAATTGGGACATTTATAGACCTGCGTGGATTCTGGTTCTTTCCATACAAGCGTTTGTAATTGATATTTATTGAATTTCTACTGGCGTTTACAATTTTTAATTGAGTAGTCAAGCCAAGTTAGGTATGTGCTTCATGCAGCCCGAAAGTGTGGGCATTCAATAGAACCCCTTTTACGCTTATCATCAATGCGCCGGCTGGGAATTTTGGTTTGATTCAATTCTCTTTTTAGAATTCGATCGGAGAATTGATTCATTAACTATAACACACGAATACAGTCAGTTTCGATCGATCAGCAAAGAAACAAGGTTCATTGAATTTCATAATAATAATAGCATTTAATTTTAATTCTCATATTTTTATTGAACCGTTTTATTCTATTTTATAGGAGCTAGAATCCTCAGAAATTATCACATTTGAGCTCTCCTAAGAAGTGAGAAGTTGGGAAGTATAATAACTGAAGTAATAATTTAAATCAAAGCGTATTATGCAAAACAACGGAACAGATAAATTATACCATCACTGGTACCTATGTTTCAGTTTCGAAAATGGTACCTTATACCTTGGACTAACGGACAAATTGAAGCCTTGATGGTATATTCTATACCTTTTGAACTTCAAGTGAATCTGCCGTAACTTCAAGTGAATCCAACCAATCGCACTCCATTGGAAACCCCGACAAGATGATTGGTGTTTCGGCCGTCAGATGTCACCGATTGAACCGGGTCTAACTAAACCCCCTCCAGTTCGAATGAACTAACTTCTCGGTAAACAAACAAGTACTTTTTGAGTGAACAACGGATTTACTTGAAGTTAAAAAGGTATGGTTGTGAAACTGATTCAAGTAAGACTATGTGCTATAAGATTAGAATTCCAGTGTCGAAATATACACTTCAACTCCCAGGGACCAAGAGTGAGCTTTTGGTAACCACCTGCTGTCATTGGACTGAGGCATTGAGGTCTAGGTCGATTCGTAACTACCACCAAATGGATGAATTATTCAGCTCATATTAAAAGTATGGTGGTACTTGCATACGTGCATGTATAAGCGTGTGCGTATAGCCCAATAATGGTATTTAATGAGTTGTATAGTCCAGGTACATTACCGATTATCCAGAAAGCGGAAAACAATAATCGGTTTCACAAAGTTTACTCTATTCGGCGTATAATCTTTTAATTGGGAATATTATTACAAAACAAGTGGTGGCCTTTTGATTCATCCGTCATTGTTGGACAACCACTAAAATCCAACTATCAGAAGATGCAATACTAGAAATACATCCAGAGGAATGGAGTAAATGCTTGTAGGAACATGGAGGTTTTTTTAATTCACATGGCCTTTCAGAATAAATGCCTCTTTGATGCCACAGCGAAAGTTCAATATGATCTACTGGTTCTGTTTGTCATAAACTTGAACCATTTCAATTTCTCACAATCAACAATCGCCTCAGGGAAAGTAGATCCTCTCAGGTATCCACTCAGGGCACGCACAGTGCTCTCATCCAGTCTCTTCTTCAGTATCCCCCTTGAATCTAATCACAACCTAAACAATACCGAGAAAATCTACCTCAAGTTTCTAAACTTGTTTTTCCCGCCATACAAACCTTTTACCCAAATTTTCTTCGTTCCTCGAACTGATATGTTCTATCGAGGATATGTTTCCACCGCGACTGCCCTCCGCATCACTCTCATTTAGTTTCCTGCCTTCTGCGATGCGTACAATATCATGCTTGATGTCTTTTGCGCCAATTTTTTTTATTAATTTCATAATTTTACTTCACTTGATCAATTTTCAATGTCCCCCAAACGTGTACACTACGTGTGTGAGGTGAAACTAAGTCCGCTTATCATTTCTCATTGATTAGTTCGAATCTCATCACTGATTTCCTATTTTTCCTTTCTGTGTGTCTCCACATAGCGCCTTAAAAGCCACAGCCTAAATCCATTCCTTAAAATTATTCTGTAATTGTAAATTGAAAAATTAATCATAAACATTGTTATTAAAAATACTTAGGTTTACTCGTCTCATCAGCAAACCGATCTCTATACATACTCTAAGGTGCAGGCTTACGATGAACATTTGCTTCTCTATCTCTACTCTGTCACTACTAATTGTATGTTGCGTTCCTATTGGGGATTTTAGAGCCCGTCCATAAGCCGCAATTTCTGCGTGTTAAGTGACCATCTCCAGGTTTTGCACTTCTAGCCGCCAATCATACATTTCCCAAGAACTGACTTGCAGTGGCCTCATTGCTAAAAGCACGATGAACAAACCAGTATAATCCTGAACGTTTACCTTTTAGTTACCACATGCCCTTGAGTTTAGGGATTTATCCATTTGAATTTTTTTACAATAATAATAAATACATTCCGACCGAAGCAATTTATCAAGACCGAGAAACTGATCCAACGCCTCGCAATCGCTACTCACTGAACAGCGCGAAGTCGTAGAATTTCACATAAAATTATCACGCAATCTTACACTACTTTAATATAAATAATAATTTTTCACACGACATGATTTAACCTCGATAATACGTCATCATCACTGCAATAATCAATTGAGATTTGCAGGATTATTGGGCAATGGTCTGTCATCGCTAGATCGGTAACCATCGAATAGCCTTTTGTATAGTTGATATAAATGTATCTAAAAGAAGTTTGCAGTAACTTTCAAACAATCCTTGATTTCCGTATTCATCGTGCACGTCCTTGCGTTACAACTGTGTGAAATTTTCTTCATCCACAGAAAACCCCATATTTGAAATGAAGGATTATCGACTGGAAATGCGAGTGGCAGTGCAAAGTCTGCGACGATTGGACAAAGAGGTGTACACGAGTCAGGAGAACGAAGAAGCGGACTTGCTTGCAGATCAGCGCAAACAAGAGAGGTCAACAGCGGAGGTGATCAATCGTTTGCATTTTATGAATGCTCTTCTCTATGTCACCCATGTTATCGTAACTGACCCCAAAATTCGCATGTCTTTACCTCAAAGGTGATTAGACTTCCGGGATATTTTTAGGATTGTAGTGTGAGGAATTCTTGTTTCAATAATCCGGAGACTAACTGAAGGCCAGATTGTTGGGCTGTGTTTATCTGACCGTAAGGATAGCGACACAGACTCGTAGGAGATGTTTTTCAGAGATACATGTCCTTCGCGTTATTGTCTTTGAAATGTATTAGACAGTTTGTCGGTTATCACAATACCGAGATATATTTGAGGTAGCACTGATGCAGCGTGTTCTATCTCCACATATCCTGACCTCGTACTCTACACGGCTTCCAGCTTGTCTCAGTTTGATTCCCTTGTGTTTCTTGCAATTGTACACCAGTAATTGTATTGTATTTTCAATCTGGTCATTCCCAATGACTGGTGGCGGAGAACAGTCTTCGTTCTGATACAAAATTCTAATATTTGATGTCACCTACAAAGCGACTGAAACAATTTATGGACACTTAAAGTTCCGGAACTATCCAATTACCAGTAAAACTGATATGCACGTTCCGTACATTAGTATCCAACTGTATTGTGGAGTTGCTGTACCCATACGTGGTAAATTATACAGTAGTGTGTGTGCAATAATGAAATCCATATATGAAGGGCCACAGCCTTAATAAATAGCTCGATTCAGGATGAAACTTAACGAGTAAGGTAATTATTAAGCATTCGTGCTAGGTAAAGTTAGTATACTACAAAATGTTCTGTAGGTTTAGTCAACTCCTGTACATAAATCAATTAAAGTTAGCGAGTCTAATTGTAAACGTGTTCTACAATTTTGCTTCGCGTCATAATTAGTTCGGCATGACCTCTTCCAATGTGATTGAATCATCCTCAAGTTCCACTTTCCCTACAGTGAATTCACCCTCCAGGTGGTTTCTGCACCGACCTTTGTCGGCTATCCCCTTGGTATCTCACAAAGTAATGACGGTTTATTCATGAGGAAATGTTTGGTCTCTAGCGAAAGAAGATTACTGCTGCAAGATCAGAAGATATACGAATGTCCACCAATGGATGGCATTAGCGACGTTCCCAACCTTTTAAATAGTACCAGAGAATGGACAGAAATCATTGGATAGTTTCATTGAAGCTGGTGGTTCTAAGATTAGAACACACAACCTTGAGGTATTCTTCCTCGGTTAATGACCTGCGCTTCCCTAGGATTTCTTATGAATCGATATCAAATGTGTTCCAGCCGTAGCACACATGGATTTACATACTCAAACAAGTGATGCCTGTATCCGGACATCAGTACTCTCGCTTCTTCGATACTTCCGTAAATTTCTCAAATAGGCTTATAGCAGAGAGTTTTATACCCAAATTGGAACAGAGGAAACGCCTACTCAACCTATTCTCTCAGTACACCTCTTGATGTCACGTCTCAAAGTCATCTCCTGATCTCCAAATGCCTTCCTCCACCTTGGAAAGGATACTGTAAACAGGGCACCTTGCGGGAACTGACTTCTGAGCACACGCGATTCATATCTCAATCCGTGAAATCCACTCATCCGATTGGTCGATAAGAGTAATTTTGTGCT